GCAGCCACAGATTTATTATATTATCAGAGGATACAACTGTTAATGATGCAGCAGAGTTCAAGCCCTGACTCCAGGTTTCGTATAAATCAGCCTGGAAAATACAAGAAGTCTTCTAAACTGCTCAAACCCACCAAGAGGTTTTCTCTACAGGCCATTGCTAATCTGCAGCCTGTGATGATTACTGGGAAAGAACATTTCCTTTAACACCAATTCAAAGAACAACTTCAAGGGGTGTGGGAAAAGCATTATTAGTATAGCCAGCACCTAATACTGATAAAACATCCTCTCTCCTTAGCTCATGAAATGCCAGACCAGGAAGCAACTTTGCACTGGACAGTGCTTCAGCAGCCAGTGAAGAGAGCAGGATCGTGCTATTGTGGCTGGCCAACAGTCCCTTTACAGCAGATCTTCCAAGCCAGAGCTACATGAAGATATAGCACTGTTTTCACCCCAGCCTTGAAGAGGGTACCATTTTATATGCTTCCTTGCACATGATTGTCTTGCTATCACTGCTGCATACTGGTCCAATGATGCTAATAAGATGACTCTGCTATATAATGACTGGCATGGAGTTGTGAGATAAAACTCTACATTTGGATTATTATACTAAATTAATATGCATAACCAGTAAACACTGTGACAGCCACATTTACCTGGATCACATGGAAGCCCCATGTGTGGATTACTGCCATTGAAAGCTACTGCTCAATAGTGAGGATACTATGGAGAGAAGCCAGACTGTAGCAAGCAGCTCCTCAACTGCTGAAAACCACAAATCTCCATTAAGTTTATGAAAGGTAGTTCTGAGATTTTACTGGGGAGGGGGGAAGGTAATTTGGGGAGGGGGAGTGCAGTTCATAGTGCACTCTTTGTGTCCCCACAGGCGGCAAGGGCAAGTGATTCCTCATGGCAGTGCTGTATCTTACAAGTTTGGTTTTTTTCCCTTTCACCTGGCACACCACTTTGCTGTTAATTCCAGGTGAGGGGCTAGGATCAACAGTTGAAAATGACCCAGTAAATATATTATCATGGAGACTCTTTTATACTGTCCACATATGCTTTGCTTTCTCCACTCTGCCCCATGATGCTCTGCATGATTTGAACTTCTCACTTAGTATTTGCAACCTAGCATCCTGCTCAGCTCTCCTACTGGCTGCCATCACCAGAGATGGGTGACCCTCAGCAGCAGATGGCAGTGGGAAACAAAGGAGGAGAAGGGTAGGTCTGGGAGGTAGCTTGAAAGGTGGAGGGGAAATGTGAAAACTGCAACAAGCTGCCTGAAAATCTCATTGTGATAATTTTTGTTAAGTATTCCTACATGCACACATGCACATGCACAACAGTATTTCACAGTGTCAGCGTTAGCAAGTGCCTTTTCCCCTTGTTACATGTTCTCCCTGTGAAGTTGAATTTTGCCATTAGACTCATATTTCATAGCAGTACATATGATACCCATGAAATAAATATGTTAAAGTCACTTCATTGACTCTGCCCTCCACTGGAGCATGCTCCAGAGGCATTTACAACCAAAGTACTTCACAGGAACTTGGTTCCTCATGCTCCCAGAAGAGCTGGAGGGATGCAGAAAATTTCAGTGTTTTATGGATCATTTCTATTTTAGGTCCACTTCTCCATTAGTCCTACACAGTCAAATACAGACAGATGTCACAGCAATGCCTCGTATAAACAGGTGGGAATGTGTTACTTTTAGTGCGAACACCATGTGATTTTTGGTCAGAAGAGACAAGGATGTGCTTTCTCTGTCCTGCAGATAGCTGCCACGGCTTTGGTGAGTTGTGGCACTGAGCTCGGTATGGTCCCATCCTTCACAGTGGGTTGGGTCTGGTAGGTAGATGTGTATGTATAATGCTAGCCAGCGAGGAGATTCAGTGCATTAAGACAAAATGTCTCCAAATGAAGAAGACCTGAATTGCCCTTCCAAGCCCTGTCTAATAATGACTGGCTCTGAAGGGATGCTGTCTGGCCTTTGCTCCTCCTTAGTGTCTGCAGGAATGTAAGGGATGGCAGAGAACAGTCAAGAACTGTCTGGGAAGGACAACTGAAGGGCATCATGTTCTCCTTCCACATGGCTGCCCCACAGGAATTTGCTGGTGAGTTTTCTCTCGCAAGCTCTCCTTGCAAAGCTCCCTTGTACATAAAGTAGCCAGTTGGCTGTGGCTAGACAACTTGGCACAGCACCATGCTTCCCTCACCCTGGACTGCCACCAAACAGCTTCAGACATGCCTTTGCGAAAGACTGACAACTGTTCCTTGTTAAAATACAGCAGCTACATTGTGAGATGGAGATGCACCATGTGAGCAGTTCTCACTGCTGCTCCACACTTCTACAGGACAGGGTGCATGGAGAAGCTTCTTGTTTCTCTGTGTGCCCTCTGCAAGCACTTTGTGTGATTTAGTTGACACCATTGATTTTTGCACGCTGCTCTTTAAAAGTTGAGTCTATTTCCAGGAGCAGTGCTTTTTAAATGCAAGACCATTAAAAGCATCCCTTTGCTAGATACACAGGTTAAAACAGGCTGGATATAGGACAGACAGCTGATTATGTCCTGCATACAACATGCCTATAGTCCACTCACCCCTCACTCTCTCTAAATCACATTCTGCCATCTGAAAGTGATGGCATGGCTGTCAGAGGGCATGCACTGTGGGCACTGAGAACAGAATACGTTCCTGCCTACCCAGAACACACCTGCTACTGATGTTCACATTACTACAGATGCACTTTTGGATGCAAGAACAGGGAGGTACTGTATACAAATGAAAATGTAGAGATGTAGAAAATCTGCACTAGAGATTTCAGATTAATAGGGGCTAGAGGGAAAATTACTCCAGTTAAGGCCCCTGCTGCTGAAGCTGTGTGCCAAACACTGGGACAGTGCAAGAACCAAGAAGAGAAGTAACTCTCACTTGTAGGGAGTGGTCTGCTGCCACTCATAAGTGCTTCATCGTCGGATCTGGTCTGAAAGTAGAAAATGCCAAGTATTTTATAAATGGCCTCATATTTTACAAGCAGTCTAGGGAGAATATGTCTGGCCACAGAGATCTAGACAACTTGGGAGTTTCATCCACAACAGATAAACTTCCTCTTGGATTCAGCTCCTGCAAAATACAGCAAACCAGCTCCCAATGAACATGCCTTCAACACCCCATGCTGCTGAATACAAGTGGAGGACCCTACAAATCCAATGGCAATGGCAGACAAGGGCTTGTAAACACAAGTTATGCTGGCCATGGCCAGGAGATGTGTGGAAATATGCCACACATGGCCAGAGATGGGTGGTGGTAGGCATGTTTAAAAGGATATAAGGTGGTGCTGAAGAGGGAGAACAAGCCCGATTCTCATTTGTATCCCCCTGCACTTGGCTGGTGGTATTTACACATACCAAAGACCTGGTCAGTAACTAAAGTATTTATTTCAGTTATTTATAAATCCACTGACTGACCACTCAGCTTCAACCATGCCACTTTGCTTCCAGAGATCGAGGCTACTAGATCAGTGTTTTTGCCTTTGCTGTCCCAGGCTCTCCTTGAGGCCACTGGCTGAGACTGAAGCTGCCTCAGAGCCCCCAGTGCATCGTCTAACAAAGGGACTGGGTCCCCAAAGGGCACAGAGCACATCCACAGAGTTTGGTTACTGTAGTGAGCCAGCCACAACTTGACAGCTAACACAATTCAGACGGTGAGAAACCATATGCCCTGAGCTCCTCTTAGAAGACCAGGCTTACCCTGCCTTTCTGTGGTACGTGCACCAATCTGACACCTTTCTAAGCAGTCAGACATTTCCAAAGGGCTCTGACAGCCAGCTGTGGAGTTGTCATTCCCTCCCACAACCCATCTGCCCTCCCCTGTCTTTCCCTCCCCCCTGCAAACCCCTCCCCCAAACCCTCTGTGATGCTCCTCACCCCTACACCAGCAACCCTGAATTGAGCAGGTGGTCATTTCATCTTGGCGAACAACTGGAAACCCAACAGCTAGAAACATCTGTTGGGCCATGAAGAATTGCAAAATAACAAACAAGTAAACGGGAGGAAATGTGCATATAAAAAAATTTTTCTCCTGGCATATTGTCAATAAGCTGCAATTTTTCCTTCCACAGGGAAGGGATTTAAGTTCTTGAATGATATGATGCTTGGAGATGTAATTTCTTTTTCATAAAAAAAAAAATCCCAACCAACCAAAAATTTCCAACCCCGAACTCACAAACTGGTATTAACAAAACAAGGTAAAAGGACAAAACTCCCAACAATGACAACCGAAAAATAAAGGTACACGTCAGCATTTGTAATCAAAAACTACTACATACTGTACTTGGGAAGTCTTCTGGGAAAAGATCATTGGCATCTAGTGAGGACATCGCTAAAAGTCTTGTGCATATGATATGTATGAGACAATGATGCCATCGGAGGGTGGATGGACGGACCCTTAGGAAACTGTCACTCACAAAACTGTTCCATGACAAGAGAAAATAAGAGATGTAAAAAGGATTGGTTTTCCCCATCCCCACCCCCCAAGCGTTACATATTCCTTCTCATTTGTTGGAAACAGCCTCTTCTAGTCTCAGTTTATTTGTTTTTTAAAAAAAAGTCTTCAGCTTTTGAAGAAGTCCATCAATTTCTGAGATGCACTTGGTTCCACAGCACCAAAGAGCTTCAGCTCTCTCTCCCCTTTGATTTGCTAACAGGGGCTTTCGGTAAGGACTGCTGGCTGCAGGACATTCCCAGAGCCGTCATCCCATGTGAGAAAGACAAGTGCTTCTCGTGACCTTTCTTTGCATTCATCTTCTTGAAAAAGTCTCGTTGCTCCAGAGGTGTCTGGACCCAGCTGCAGCAGCCTTGTGCAAGAGGAAATAGATGAAGCTGCTCTTTTCTCTTCCTTTGGAGGCTCCCATTGGTCTTGGAGCCCTTTTCAAGAATGCAATTGCTTTATTATTATTTAAAAATAGTTCATAGGTTTTTTTTCAAAATAGTTGTCTTTTTTTGTTCCCTTTTTCCATTGCTTAAATTCTAGAAGCTCTTGGTGACCTCTCGGTATTGATGACAGGGCATTTCTTCCTGTTGCCATGATCCTCAGAGCAGCTGCCTGTCTCTGGTCCATGCAGAACACTCAAGAACTGGAGCTCGGACATACAGGGGCAAAGGGGAGCAGGGCCTCAAGGAAGAGGAGTAGGAGGACATGTAGCTATCAAACCTCCACAGACTGAATTTGGTTCATCTGTGCTCTCATCACCTGGATACTGTTCAGAATTTTCTTCTGGTGTCCTGCTAAAGTGACCCCAACTCGCAGAATGTCCCTTTGGGAGGAAAAGAAACAAACACTGCATAGATATCAGAATACATTTTCTCACAACAGAACAAACCAATGTATGAGCATGGTGCGTAGGGAGCTCAAGTCTCCACAGATCTATTCCATAAATGCAACAAATGTATACAAACCTGGTGAAACCTCTACTCTTTCTCTTTGACTCTTCCTGGCTTATCGTCCTGATCTGGCATTTGCTACACCCCCAGAGTACTGGAAGCCCCAACAGAGTGTGAAAACAAATACCACAGGTTCTGCTTACTGCTTGCAAGTGAATTTGCCTTAGGTTTTCTACCCTTGCATCATTTTGTTTCTTTCTTTGCATGTTTGTATTCTCTCTCTCATTTTGTGACACAGTAACCCATTTTTTCCATCCCTGGAGACGTATGAACAGGATGTGCTACACCCTCATCAGTGTGAATCTCACTGTCCCTGTGCAGATGATGGCTGATCTTTCTACTTTTGCTTTGATCTGATGAGGCCATGAAGTGATAAACTTTTGCTAGTTATCTTCTTTGTTAAATCATGGCAATTTAATTTTTTCGTTGCTTCTATTTTTTATAGGTATTAGGCATCTGGCAAAAATAAAGGTCATGCCAAGAGCATCAGTGTGACTCTGCGTTGTTCCTATCTGTGATCACTCCAGCTGAGTTTACTACTCATGTGCCTCTTGGTGGATAAATCTCAGTCATGAATTCTTCTGATCAGGGAATGGATGGCATTCATGAGACATGACCCATACCTGACTCTAAGGATTTTCAGTTCCCTTTTCTCCTTCCTTCAGTGTTAGGAACAGACTTTTAAGAGGAAGTATGTCAAAACCCTTGCCTGTTTTAGAGTGGCAAAGAAGGGTAAACAGGAGCTCCAAGGAAAGGTGAAAACCCCTCTAGCACTAGTGGCACATGAGCCTGTATGTTTGCTTTAGAGCTTGCTTTAGACCTTATCTCTTTGGTGAAACAAAAGGAGCATGAAGAAGTAAAGCTGGGCATGGGGCTATGCCACAGATTTACACATTCTGGCTGGTGATAACTGATTGGAGACCACTACTGGGGCATGCTTCAGCCCATACCCTCTTAGATCAGTGTGAGAGTGAACATCCAAGCCACAGCTTTGCTGCAGCGCAGACTCCTGCTCAGCAAAGCAACTGGAAGCCTGCTAGCACACTACACAAATCTGGCACCCACGATGGTATCCTTCACAGGACTGTTTTTCTTACTGCAAGGCCTTTCCTTCCCTGCTCTGCTCCAGCCAGATATGCTGAGCTAGGGAATTTTCCTCCTTGGACGAATTTGGCAGTTTGAGTTTTGCTTTTGTTCTGATTGGGAACAAAGCACAAAGTCTTCACTCATGTCTGTAAACCAGAATAAGACTGTGGCCCTGTACAGCCCTGTGCTTGCTAAGCTTTCTGCCCTGGGCATAGATCCTTTGGTGGCCCAGGTGTCCCAACCTGCAGACAAATCAGTGAGAAACATTTCAAGTAGGTCAGTATTGAAACCATGTGGATTTGGTGAACTGAAGCAGTCTTCAGTAAACATTTGCACTTTGCTGGCTATCCAGATTTGAAGAAAACAGTGCTCATGGCAATTCAGCTCCACTTACATGATTGTCTACTTCTGCAAAGACCAGCGAACATTAGAAGGTGGTTTCAAGTAATGTTGCAGCATGATTTCCCAAGGAAAAAGGACTTGGAGTGTCCTTCTCTCTATTATTATGTCCAGCCAAGCAGGTGAGAAATGTGGAAGGGAGGTTTGTCAAAACTGGTGGGGACATGAGCTGAGGATACCCTTGTGACTGTGAGGAAGGCACTTGGAGAGGACTTGGAAGATATTGTAAGGAATTGGGAGAAGTGGCATTTAAGGAACACTGAGCATGTCTGTGAAAAAACATACTTCATTAGCTGGACTGCCTGCAGAACTGTTTGCTGTTACATATATTGCAAATAGCACAACTTAGGCAGGATTGGGTTGTCGTGTGGGTGTGTCCCTGTTTGATCGAAGTTCTTCTTCCCTATCCTTCAGATTTTATGGACCCTCTTTCTGTTGTATGAAACCAGCCTATAGTGTGCCAAAATCATCCCCAGGGCCTTGGGGTTGTACCACATATGTACTGAAACAGCCAGAATTGCCATGTGAATTTCCTGGCAGCAAATAAGAACAAAAAGCCAGAAAAGGTCAGTTGGGCTGTTTGCGTGAATGGATTCTGAGTCATTGGTAGATTTAAAGTGTGGAATTAGGCACCAAATCCAAAAACCTTCCTGGTTACCAGGCACAGAGACATCGTAGCACTTACAGATGGCTTTAATGCTTGGCATTTTTTAGGCAGGGTTTCTAAAGCCAACTGCAACCAAACACAAATCTTTCACCAGAGGCATCAAAGACCCAGCTAGCCCCAAGGGATTTCAAAAACCACCATGGATGGATTTCAGCTGCTGCTTCTTCTGAACTTGCTAAGATTTTCCCACCGAGGGACATTTTTAGTGGATGCAGGACAATTCAGAACAAACTTGAAACCATCTGGACTTTCAGAGGCCTTTCTTAGGCAAAAATTTGTTTGCAGCATGCTTGTTTCCATCACCAGTGAGACATATATCCAAGAGGACTGCAGAGTCCAAAAGTGCTCTTGAGCGGCTGGAGAATTGCCTGATGCTGGCCTGAAATCTCCATTTGTTCCATGCTGGGGTTTTGGAGACCCTTGTGGGGGTTTTCGTTTTCACAGTGGGGACATGGAGCGTGATAGCATGGAAATGAATTCTGCAGATACGGAGCGACAGACAGACCCTGCAGAACAGAGTAGTTCTGCAGAAACTGAATAGACTAAAAGTGGGTCTACAAAGCAACAAATTCTATAAAAGTAAAACCACATAATATGAAAATAAAAACTGACTCAATAACAACCAATTGCTGTTAAACTACTGAGACTTTTCCTTGTGCTTTGGGACTAGAAGCCTGAGCACTTACTCTACAGTCATCTGAGATACTACATCAAAGGTGGTGAAGCCAGCACTGGCAAAGCTCTCCTTGTACTGACTCATCTTGATGGCATCCAGCCATTCATCCACAGTGTTGAAGCTGGTATAATCCGGGATTGTGCGGTCAAGTAGGGGAAGGTTCATCCTGAAACACAAAAATGGGGAATGAGCAGAACAAACAGCGGCAAGCATGTGTATTTCTGCACCCTCCATCAGCTGGAGGGACCTGGACCAGCATCGTTCACAGTGCCTGCACCACACCGTATTAAGAAATACCACCCAGAAGGCATTCTATGCAACTGAGGGAAGGATTGTTTAGAGCATCAGTGAAGTCTTTTTGGATCAGTTCGTACAGGAGAGGTAGGAGCCATCAAAGACAATGGGATGCAGCTCTAAAATCCTGGCTGCACAAGGGGAGAAAGTACATTCTCAGAATGGGGCCAGTGCTTCCCACAAGTTGGTGTATCCCCACCCAGTCCAGGGAAACATCATACTGCCTGACGAGGCTTTATTTGCCTCCGCTGTGTGTGTAATTGGACTACAAAAGCAACCACATCCATCCAACACGTGTACATGAAACCAAGATGCTCATCTAACTGTGCAGAGTACACTGTCCAATTCAACGAACTCTCTGTGTTCACAATATCTAACCTGGCCAAGGAGAAGGACCAGAGTGACCTTGACATCTTTTAATGCCCCTCCTATAAAGGACCAAACAACACAAGCCAAGCTGCCTCTAAAATAGCACAGAGAGATGCAAGGATGGTGCCCACTGGGACACAAAGGACAGTAGATCTGCAAAGAGAAGCCAAAGGTCAAGAGGAAGACAGAGGTACATACCCAGAGGAAAGAGGTGCCATGGCTTTCAGGCTGTTAGGATTTCGGATCATTTTGTCTAAGGTGTTGACAATTTGCCCAAATTTGGGTCTGTGGTTTCGATCCTTCTGCCAACAGTCAAGCATTAGCTGGTGCAGGGCATTTGGACAATCCATAGGTGGTGGCAGCCGGTAGTCCTGCTCAATAGCATTTATGACCTGTGAGAGGAGAAAAAGAAACCAATACAGTGGCAATAAAAACTATTTAATTCATAATGTTCCCTTTCTTGGATCCTGAGGGTGACTGGCATGGCCAACCATAGTGCAGCAGGGCTGCTTTGCCTACACTTACTGCTGCCTATCATGTCAGCCACTGATTCTTGTAGTAATGCACTACTCTCTGACACCCAGCCCTTTGCATGTAATGTCATCCTGTGAGGATGCTCAGCCAACATGCAGCCTTGCTCACTACTTGTGATGAGCCATGCCCATCAGTCTCCTAATCTGGGGAAAGAGAACATCCTGCTACCTTGACAAGCGTGCGTAAGCCTGCAGCTCCAAGCATGAGAAAGGTGAGTTGGAGAGAAAGCTTCATGTTTTCGGACAGGTACACAGCACAGCATAATAGCTCACTGGGAGGAGAACATCCCCATCCAGTGAAGGGTCTGCTCATGAATTACAGACAGGGGAAGCTGCTCCTGTGTTTTCCTTCCTCCAGTGGTGCTTTCTACTCCTGCCAACAACCCAGCCCTTCCAGGCGACAGGGTCATGGCACGGGACAGGGCTGAGTGCGCTGAGCCAGCAGGAAGAGCTGGATCTCCCCACTGTCCTGGGTAATGCAAACTGAAGCGCACAGTGGGGAGGACCAAGACCTTGGTCATCAGAGCCAGGCACAGGGTAACTTTGCTACAGCATGCAGAGAAGAGTTGCAGCACACCTTGCCTAAGCCACGCTGCAGTTCTGTGGGCCAATGCAAGAAGGCTTTGGCTGTTTGGTCTCTCCTTACTGCACCACGTGACCTGGGAAAATGCCTTGTCTTGCAATGCTCAGTGGAAATTGCACATGCACAAGGGCTAGAGGATGTTCTTCAGGGGAACCCCATCTCCCTGTCACTCTGCACCTGTAGCCCTCTGTCCTCTCCTGGGTAATCAAGGAGGATGGAGCTGCACAGCTTCTTCCAGGGGCATATATTCCTCTGACTGAGGCATGTGACAGGCATGCTTTTCCTACCTTCTTGGCCTTATGCATCCTACGGTCATACACAGAGCACGGGCAATGAAAGGGGGGCAGAAGGAGCCATGGACACTAGAAACAGGCTTGTGCATGGCAACAAAAACCAGAAGTGAGGATAAAAACCAGAACTGAGGATACTGCAGTAACTGAAATCAGAGGCAGCATTTTGAAATGACCAACTCTCCACAGAGATGATAAAAAAGGGGAGGGAGACTGACAGAACCTCCTTCAGGGATCCAGAGGAAGATCAATGTCTCTGGTTATTCTCACCATGTGAGCAAGGCTGCCATGGCTTTGTCCAGCCATGTCTTGCATACTTCCAAGGACAGAAATCTGTCTGGTGGGCTACCCCAGGGCTGCACCACCCTCCAGAGAAGGACTAGCCATACCCATACAGCAGCATGATGAATAAATTGTTGAGCAGGAAGGCTGCATAGAGAAAACTGAGGATTCTGCAGTTGGGACTGGGAGAGCATCAGGGAAGAGTTGGTAGAGAGGTGATACTGGAGGTGCTGTGGCAGTAGAAGGCTGCTGCTCCAAGGGAGGGTGGGTGGCAGATCCATGACAAGCAGTCCAGGGTGTAAGGTGGAGCATCTGGCAGGGTTTAAGACGGACTGTGGCTTCAGGCAGAGAATGGATTGAGAGAGGGCTCCAGACACTGATGTGTGAGGCCAAGGTGCTGGGCAGGCTGACCTGAGACAGATGGGGGCTGGTACTGCTGCTGCCAAAATGTACCAGATGGAAGGAGTCCTCCCCCTGCCCGGCTGGACATGACGGTGCCCCACTGGGCCTGCGAAGGCCCAACGTGAGGCATTGCTGGTGTGTTTTGTGCAGCTCTTGGCACCAGTTCAGGGATTCTCCCAAGAGGTGCAAGCTGTCCCCTCTCCCAGCTCTCTGGATCGCAGATCTATCCGAGACAGAGGGGAGCGGAAGCACAGGGGGAGCAGGGCTGGGGAGGGTCATCACACAAGCATCAAGCACTCGTCTCCGGCATGGACCGAACGGTTTCCTGACAAGCCGCCCACCTTGCTGCCAGCATGCATCCAATGAGGGGGCACAGGCTGCACTCTCTGTCTCCTCTCCCCCCACAGCCTCCCCAGGCGCTCACACCCGTGGGGTCAGGAGGCTAATCTGCAGCAAATATCCACCACGTGCTCATTCACAGGGAGGACCAGCTGCAATTAAGTGGTGACAGCTTCTGGGGTGCAATGTCCTGTGGCAGAAGAAGCGGAAGAGGCTGGGGACAGGCGCGACGCAGCAAGCTATGCCGATGAGACGGGCATGGGCTCTGCCACCCCTGCTGCCTGAATCAGTGCTGCAGCAGCACAGGGTTTGCAGCAGGAGAAAACATTGAGGGAAGAGGCCCAGGGGAGGAGAACAAGGGAGGGGGACAGCACAGGACTACATGTACAGAGGGATGCAGAGGCAGGGAGAAGGGCAGTGACACCTGGCTGCAGGAGATGCTTGAAACTGCAGGTGATAATGAAGCCTTAACGAGAAGGGAGTTGCCCTTTCTGAGAAGGATGTACCCCTAACTCCCTTCCCTTTGGCTCAAACAATTGATGCAAAGACTCTTCTGGTATGCCAGGGACTGGGACAAGGCCATGAACAGCCAAAGGTGCTAAGATATCATGTATCCAGATATCCAGGCATTGGGGACTCACTTGAATAAATTCCCCACCAGGCACCAGGGAGGAAATTGTCCCATTCTGGAGAAACCTGACGTGCCATGGATGGAGTTATATTGACTCAAAAAAGACCTGATTTGCCATTGGGGTGGGAGGAGTAGCAGGAGTCAGGTGGGAGCTTGGCTCTCACTCTCTCCCTGTAAGGCAGGGTTTTTTCAGGACCCCACAGGATGATGGAGATAGAGGTGGCAGTCTGAAGGCTTCCAATGGACTCCCCAGAGGCAGCTCTGAAACAAGGTGGAAGCCAGGCAGATGCTGTAACATGCAGGTTTGCGAGACCCAGGCTTGCAGCAGAGGGGGAGGGCAAGCCTCCTGTGCACCAAGGGTCTACCCAGGACCTTGGTGTTAGATCCTGAGGGTTCACAAGGCAAAGACCACCTGAACAAGGGCAGCTCTTCAGAGAGACAATGTTACAAGAGAGCTGGGAGCCCTGCACCAAAGGGGTCTTCTGGACACACACGTGCAGGTGTAGCATTCTGCATGGCACTCATTGCCACTGGATGGATGGGCTTTGACCACCCAGGTATCAGGTCAAGAGAAACAGGGAAAATGGCATTGCTATGGTGAAGGTGTGGACAGCAGCCACAGGTCATCCTTGCATGGAGGCAAGGACTCATAGAAACTGCCTGGGTCCCGGGGAGCAAGGAGTGTACATAACAGTTCCACATGAATTAGAGAAGAGTCATAAAGTATTTAAAATTAAGCATGTTCTGAAACACATTGTGGTTTTGGCTTCTAGCTGCGTACAAGTTGTGTGGCTTCTTACACATCAGAGTCTAAGCTTGTCATGGGAGATTTAATGACCATCTAAGTGGAAGATGTCCTTGATCATGGCAGGGGGGTTGGACTAGATGATCTTTAAAGGTCCCTTCCAACCCAAGCCATTCTATGACTCTATAACAGACTTTCACCAATGCCTGTGGTCTCCTGCAGATGATCTGCCTGCTGCTCCAGGAGCTCTCAGGTCAGTGGCAGCATTTTGTTTTCCACCTGCCTGCTCCCTTTCCTCCTGGGAATCTGTCTACCACTGCTGAGGGTGCTCACATTAACCTTGTCCTACTGCAGTGGGTGTTGTATGGTCCCTAACCTCTGCCACAGCAGCACAACGGGACCAGAACAAAAGCCAAAGTTATCCCCACCACTTCTTACAAAGGTGTTGACCTTGGACACATGTCCCATGACAGAGAAGGCTCTGGACATACCACAGGCTGGGTCTAGCTGTAGCCATGCTTTGGCCTTGCAATGCTCCCAATTTCAATGTGTCTGCTCCTTGTTTCTTAACAACTCACATCTTGATTGGTCATATCCCAGTAAGGCCGCTCGCCGTATGACATCACCTCCCACATGACTATTCCATAGCTCCACGCATCACTGGCTGATGTGAATTTTCGGTACTGAATTGCCTCAGGTGCTGTCCACCGTATTGGGATCTTCCCGCCCTGCAGGAAAGAAAAAAGAGGATTGTAACAGAAAGAGCAAGAGTAACTGAAAAAGATGAGTGTCCAAAATATTTGCCTCCAATATGCTGGTAAAATCCTAGAAGGAAGGGACCACAGGACTATCCCTAACACTAGATCAGGGTGGCTGTGGTTTGTCTAGCCAAGTCTGTGAAACCTTTAAGGATGATGATTCCCCCCATTTGTCTGGTGACCTGTCCCAGGGAAGAAGCTTTTCCTGTTATTCACCTTGAACCTCCTAAGCCACGGTTTTGTATATTGCCCCTTATTATACCATCTGGTACTACTGCAAAGAGTTTGGCTTTGTCTTCTTCGTAACTGCCTTTCAAGTACTGCAGGTCACTTGTAGGTGTTCTCTCAGCCTCCTCTTCATCGTATTAAACAAGCCCAGCTCCTTCCACCTGCCTACTGCTACAGCAATCTTCGGCCTGACAAAATGCCCATTGTGTTAGTAGGGTCTTTTATAGAAAAATGAATGGCTATGAATGTAGAAAAATCCAAACTGATCCCCTTTGAATCTTCTTCCATCTTTTTGTTGTCACCTAGCTATTTCCAGAGCAGAATAAAAGGAATTAGAACAGCATCCACTTCAGCTTTCTACATCTGTAGACCCTTTGAAGTCAGTGATATACCATAATCTTGAGCTGAAGCGCTCGTGTGTTGATATATACATGATCCAGCAGTTTTTGATCCTGCCCATTTCTGGAGACAGAGGAGGAGTGAACATCTTCTTTAGAATGGCATGCTTGGTCACTGGTGGAAAATGGGATGAACTGGGTGGGCACTGGGGTCTTCTGTGATCCTGCTGGGCAACAGCAGCTCTGGAGAAATCAGAAGGACTCTCCATTCCCACAGAGAGTTATGCACAGAAGTGCACAAGAGTGGCATACACAGCATGGGGCCACAGGGACTGCAAGGCTCTGCGTAAGCCCTTGCAGCCTCCTGATTTTCCACCAGGGTCTTTGGAATTGGAATTGAGCCATTCACAACTCAAGGGAACTTCTGAAGGGAAAATCTTCCCCTTTGCTGGAAAATAAGCAAAACTGTCTGTGTTTTGTGGCTGTGAGAAGATTAAGGAACATTATATTTTGTCACTGAATAATTACCATGTCTTATGAAGGGTCTCCTAGGACTTAATAGGACTCAGACCCTATACATGCTAGAATAATCAAAAACCCATAATGTTCCTTAATCTTCTCACAGCCACAAACCTCAGACAAAATATTTTGTTTTCCACAAGAGGGAAAGACCAACCATTCCATACCAAACATGATGTCCTCTCCATGAGGCATACTCTTAACAGAGCTCTTGACAAGCGGTGCATTTAAAAATTGGCTAAAAAAGAAGTCCTAAAGTAGAAATTAGAGACTGGGTATATTTGGAGGGTCCTCATGGGAACTTACTTCAGTGAGACTTCCCACCTCTCTGGTGATCTGACCCAGAGCTTCACCACCCTCTTGGAGAAGGAGATTTTCCTAAGGTCCAGCATGAACCACCCAAGCCATAGCTTGTGGCTCTTGCCCATCCACGGACATGAGGTGTCTGGGATAATTATAATAAAAAGCACTCATGCATCTTGGGATATTTGAGGATGGTGCGTTTTGAAGAGGAAGATACTATTACTTCCGGTACTCTGTTATAGTGGGTGCACATACTCTATCATTTTAGATAATTTATGTCCTGCTACAGTGCCCACAGTTGAAGAAGAATAAATTAGAGATGACAGAGAGAAAAACCACAGGCACAATAACAGGAATTACAGTAGTAAACACCAGAAGCTCCCATGTATTTAGCTCAATAAAAGGAAAGGTAATTGGATGTAAGGATCATGTTGTGAAAAATAAATGTTGCTAGTGTTTCTAATAGGATGACCATGTAAGATCAGATGGTTGATGTTTGAAGCTACAGAAGTTCAGATGAGAATAAAAGCACATATTTTTAGGTGTTTGTTAGGTATTCAACTACTGTTACAATTCACTAAGAGCTATTCCAGACATCTCATCACTGGCAGCTTCAAAAGATCTGGAAGAGATGATTTCCTACGGATCATGGACCAGCTCTATCAACACTTACTTCCAAGAAGTCCTGTCATAGGCATTGTACATAGGCATTGATCCTGTAGCATCATTGTGGAGCGATGCTGTATGCCTTTGCAAACAATGGTATTTATGAGACCTCCTGGCTGCAATCTTTCTGACTAACAACAAAGTCTCCAAATTGTCCTTTGGTCCCTGTGCACATTCTGTAGCCTGAGACAGGCCATGAGTCCTCGGTGGCACTTGTGTCACTGGCACCGTGGCATTCCTGGGAAGCTGTTAGTGATCACGGAGCCATTTCTGGGAATGTTTCTCTGTCTAATTCAGAAAGACTCTCTGGAAGATCAGTATGTAGTACTGCAGGACTTTACCCAGCACACATCCACACTTCAGTCTATCATTCCTGGGGCTGAGCCCGAGACATGACATGAAAAAGGATCACAACCTCCCAGATAGCAGGGCAGCAGTGATGGTATAAAAACCCCAGACTTGCTGCTCTGGCCACAAATCTGTCAGGACAGCATCTCGGAGGACCCCTAGCTGATCCATGCTGGACGGATATAATGCATTATCCCAACTAAGGACTTTATCAGGGACACATATATGTTTGCAGTCATGTTTGGAAGAGGCGCAGTTATCTACAGAAATGACCATAGGGCCCATTGACACCCATTGGACAATTGGAAAGGACCTTGCAAGAGAAAATCTTCCTTGGTTCATTTCATTGGTCTTTCCCATCTGGCACCTTATTTCCATTGTTGGCACCCTGAAAAAGTGCTCTCCATGTCAAGGGGGGATCTCCCCCTTTCCTTCTTTCTCTCCCTGACTCCCTCCTTTACCACCCATCCCTCCCACTCTGGAAGAGCAGCTTTACCAGTGCACTGGTGTAGGTGGGATCAGAGGTGTCATCCTCCAGAAAACGGGAGAGGCCAAAGTCGGACACTTTGCAGACCAGGTTGCTGTTCACCAGGATGTTGCGGGCAGCCAGGTCCCGGTGCACGTAGTTCATATCGGCCAGGTACTTCATGCCTGCCGCAATGCCCCGCAACATGCCCACCAGCTGGATCACTGTGAACTGCCCGTCATTTTGCTTAGGGGAAGAGAAGGAAAAACTCCATATGAGAGGAGCAAGTTCACAGCCTACCATGGTCCGGCAAACAGCCAGTAGTGTCTGTCTACACTGCATGTCAAGACACAGCTATGCCATGAGTACTTAAGTTCCCTCTCAAAACAAGAGGACGGAGAGTGGACAACTCACAGGGGCTGGAAGTCACCCTCACACACCCTATGGGCATCACTACCAATGGCTGCTGTCATCCAAAGGTGGCAGATCTGCCACACCTTGCACAGGAGGGTTCAGAAGGGGCAATTTCTATTCCTATTAAGCAGGTTATCTCCCTTCAACACAAATGGAATTATCCATTTCCAACTCAGACCTATAAATATTTAGACAGAGCAGCTGGAGGTGAAGTCTTGCTGCATTAAAGCTACATCAGACTGTCCCTCCATGTCCACAGAGGCAGTTTGTAAATGCATCTGTGGGCATGTGTACAGGTAGGCACAGCCTTTTGCTAGTGTGAGTCGACACACACACATAACAGATGACAGCCTTGGTGCCACCTCCATCTCTGTTCCTGAGACATAGTCCAGACCTCTGGACTATGCAGCAACTGCCCCAGTGGCAGGGGATGCTGAACAGCAAAGGGCACTGTTATACAGGCCAGGGGAGGGAACCTTCCCCTCCAGTCCTCCTCTGGCCCAACACAATCTCTGGGGCTGCATGCTCCTGGGATCTCATACCCGCAAGAAGGAGTCCAGTGAGCCATTCTCCATGAACTCAGTAATGATCATGACCGGTGAACTCTTGGTCACTACCCCCTCCAGGTGGATGACGTTGGGGTGGTCGAACTGCCCCATGATGCTGGCTTCACTCAAGAAGTCCCGTCTCTGCTTCTCCGTGTAACCAGACTTCAGGGTCTTGATGGCCACAAAGATCTCTCTTTTGCCAGGAAGCTTGAGATGTCCACTGCACACCTCACCAAACTCCCCTGCGAACAGAGGGAAACAGGTAGGGCTTTTCAGCCTCCCAGACCTCTGCCTTTCTCCCTGAGGGACCCTGCTCCCACGGGCTCCAGCGGTGCCTGCCCTGCACACCGCTGAGCTGACCACCCACCATCTGCTCTGTGCTTCCTCCCTCACTTGACACCAAAGATCTCCCTTCAGGTGGACTCATCACTGGTGAGAAGCACTGGACACTATATGCACATGGGAACTCCTTGTCTCCAGCACTGGATGGACTTGCTCCTCCAGCACTGGACCACCTTGCTTCTGCTAGTCCAGGCTAACTGTAAGACCTTACTGACACGAGTCTTCCCAGTACATGTAAGGATAAATCCTCACCAAAGCCTGAGACCACAAAGGAGACTGTGCTGCTGAGGCCCAGCCAGACATTTACAGTTCACATACCTGCCCCAATCACCTGCTCGATTTTGACACAAGAGATATCGATTTCTTTTGCAAATTCCCTGACAGCCTCATTGGGATCTTCGTAGGTGAATGGATCGATATAAATCTTCATCCCTGGAGTCACTGCATAAAGGTGAGGGAGAGAGTCAGACAGACAGATGCAAATGGAATGACTGATGTCCAGCGTCAACGAAAAGAGAAACCTGTTTGTGTGAGGGTCTTTTTTACCTCAGCAAGTTGCATAATCAAGGGCATGAAGCAGACACAGCAAAGCAGTTTGAGAAGGAACATGCAGAGCCATGTTTGCACAGGACTATTAAGGCTGGATTCTAATGAATATTGGCCCATAAGTCATTGTTGGGACAGTGGAGGGCTGCATCATTAGCTAGGACTGCAAACTGTGACCACAGAGAATTACACATCCTTTGCAGCAGGAGTCGGCTTTAGTAGATCCAGAGGAAAAGCAAGAGAAACATTTGTTCTTGGGAGATGGTGCATAGGCACACCAGTGTCACACCATGCTCATCATGCTGCAACACTGCAAGAGGACCACTTGTAGAGGCTGCAGGTCTGCCCCACTGGCCTCCTCTGCAAGCTGCTTCCACCTCAGCACACCATCCCATCAGAGGCATGGGAAAGTGGAGCAGGAGATCTGGGCTCAGCACTCAAGACAGGAGATGGTGAAGGTCTGCCTTGGGATGTAAACTGAGGCACAGGCTTCTCTTGGTTCTCTACATGGAGACCTACAGGGGAGGCAGCTGTAGGTGCTTGGTACTACCGACACAGCCACCAAGCCAGATTGACTCCTCCTTGAGGGTGTCTGTGACCTTCCAAGGGCAGTGAAAGCAGGACAGACGGTCCAGTCTGCCCCCTGTTCTCCTGACAGGTAACCCTGCCTGAGGCTGGGTTCCCTCTTAGTAGCCTCAGCATGGCCAAGACAAGCCATAGGGGACACTGGGGAAATTGCAAAAGCGAAGCTCTTTCTGTTAGGCAGACCAGAAGACACAGCTATATGCTCATGTGAAAGGCAATGGCCATGGGAGTTGGTGAGGTTGGACTGCTGATGCCATATTGCACGCCACCTACACTGTGGGACAGCTCTTACCTGCAGTCCTGCAGTTCTCCCCTTTCCAGACTCATTTTGGTAGCCTCTGGCTTGCTCCAAAACGGGGGGTATTTAGAGAGCAGAGCTCACAGCTCACTAAATAAGGAGCCCAACACAGAACCAGAGGCACAACTCCCAGCTCCACATGTAGGATGCCGGTAGGATTCAGGGGAGTTGCTGCAATGCTTACAGGCTCCCCATGCCTCGGCAATTTGCTAACCATCACTGCTGGGGAGCTGAGTAGCGGCTGTGCCTTGGACTGGTGTCTTGAGTGACAATGTGGCTAAAAGGCACCCCAGGCCTGTTATCAGTTCATCTGCATGGCATTGAGCCTGTTCCAACAGTCATGAAGGCACAGCTATTAACGCCATCCCAGCCCAAAGCTGTCATGTTACGCACCAGACCCCGGGAGAAAGTGTGAATACTTGTTTACACATGCAGCACGGACTCACAAACAACTGTGAGTTGCATTTACATAATCTTTCTCAAAGAGTGTCATTTTTCCTAGGAAGTTATAGCTATGCAGCCAGCACGCTGCAGCTCTGGCACAGAGCTGCAGTTCAGTGACCTGCCTTTTGGGAAATGTTTCCCAGGTAAATGCAGAAGCAATAGTGAGTCCTGTGCTGAAACACTACTGACGTTTTCCATTTTCGGAACAAGGCCCAGGTCTGTACAGGAACAAGGTATAAAAAGGACAGAAATCCTGATGCTGCAAGTATAACACAAGGTAAATAACAACTGAGATTTGACCAAGGTATGATTAAAGCAACAGGTCTCTAGTGAGGGAGGAGAAAGGTGTTTCAGAGGGCATGCAGCCAGGGTTTAATGAGGGGAAGGAAGATGGACTGGGGTGAGGCAGGCTGCGCAGCAAGGAACTGAGCAAGAATGCTGGATGTGAGAGGAGTGCCTTGCAGTACACAGGGATGTTGGAAGAGGTTGCAAGAGAGGCCATGTTATGTATTGTATTATATACCTATATATATATATAGATATATCTGATGTCTACTAGGATTCTGGGAGCACTGGGATGGGCTCTAACAAAGGCACCACGAGGTATGTAGGTTCCTGCAGGAGGACAGCACTCTGCAGGATGTGGGCAGGTTGGGAAAGGGGTCTCACTGCTGCCCACAAGCTGCGCAAAGCTCAGGAGTTGGAGTAGCAAGACAAGGTGTGGTGGCAGGGGCTGCACTGCAGAAGAGGGTGAAGCTTCAGCGACATGGGGCGGGGTGTGTGCTGGATGTCACAGGGGTTTGTAGAGCACTTACAGGTGTTCACTGCATGGGTAGCACCCGACAGCAGCAGGTCTGGAGAGCATGGATTCTACCAGGCAGGGCAGGGATCTAGGTCATAGGGGACTGGTGGGGAATCTAGACAGCATGGAGCTCCTCCGTTCTACACATGCACACACCTGCCCGGCTAGGTGGCCTGAGCCCTCCTAGCCCTCCCCGCACGCCACGAGGAATGAGTGAACAGGAACACAAACCGAAGAGAGAGCGGACCCCCAGGCCTGGCGGGGGGCCGCGGTACGTACTGTGGCCACTGGTATAGTGCTGCAGCTTGTCGGTGTACTCAGAGTCAGCACGCTCAAAGCCCCGTCTTCTGGAAAGAAAGGGAGTCCTGAGCACCAGCATGGGTCCATCAGAGAGATGCACTGCAGGGGCATCTCTTTCCCCCTTCACCTTCCTGTCTCCATCCTCCCCTATTCCTGCCACCCTCTATCGCCAGGCGCCACCCCCTTGCACAGCCCCAGCCCCGGGCTGTGCGCTCAGGCTGACTTACCTGTTGCACACAATAATGATGACAACTACAGCAATGAGGAACACCAGTCCTGCCGCCGAGGAGCCGATGATGAGTGGCAGCTTCTCCTGGACACTGGTCTGGTACTCGGCTGGCACGCAAGGAAGAGAGAACGGGTTACTGCAGCACAGGATGGGTCTACACTAACAAATTCATCGAGGTCAGAGCATGGCCCTGAGCACTACCCACACTTGCATGGCTATTGCTAATGGGCTTCCCAGCACAGTTTTGGTCCGGGACAGCTAGTGCTCTCCCAGGCATGGCTCAGTTTGGCTATGACAGGGGATGTGCCCCAGTAGGAAGGCTGGATGGAGCCATCCCTTTTGGGTGGGAAAGTTTAGTCCCATGGATGCATGCATGCTGTGCCTTGTTCCTTGGCCTCAGGGACAGAAAACTGGCTTGGCCTGGTTTATTTAGCAGCACAAATTTAGAAAACAGAGGCCCCGGTCTGCATTTGTCATCAACAGCTGTGCACATGAAAATCATAAATTTCGTTTCCTCTAAATCCAACTGAGTTGAACACATCCCCATGCCAGAAAAGCCTAGCAGAAATTGGCCTAAATTACATGATTCCCTGCATGGAGCACCAAGTGCCCATGCCTCTCTCCAGGTCTTGCCAGGTTGAGTAAATGCACGTGACGTGTCAATGCACCCTTGAAGCAACTAACAACAAGGGGACCAGCACTGCTGCCACTGCATCTCCATCTTGTTCAAGGATCTCTAGACTCTGTGTCGCCTTTATGCAGAGACAGCTGAAGACTCACCTTCAGTCATGGTCTGGAAATACATCTTGCCACTATACCGGCCATACCCGGCCACAGTACGTGCCCGCACCTGGAAGACGTAGATGGTGCCAGCTTTGAGGTTTTGCACTGCCGCAGTGTTGGTGGGGCTCTTCACTGTTGTTGAATTTAACTCGCTCAAATCCTGCCAAGAAAATACAAATCTGTCATCAGAAAATTGAGTCCAGAATAAGGGGCTGCATTTCTAGAAGGAGGAAGCGCAGAAGACCAGGGTAGCATGGGTGGAGAGACCACCATGGGGAGACCATGGGCCTGAACAAACAGGTCGTTCCTCTGAGCCTGCCTCCCAGCAGGCAGGCAGAAGCAGGA